TGCCTTCGGGCAGCACCAGCCCCAACAGCTGCAGACGGACCGCATGCAATAGCAGATGGACTCGCCAGGGAAGCCCTTTCTCTCTCTTCCTCTTTTCGGCCTTCCAGTGTAGGTAGTTAGTAAGAGACAATTGATATTAACTAAGGAGCTTTAAGGAACGCCATGCTATTGCAAAACTAAAGGTTTTTATTCCACTGTCTTCATACAGTCTGCATCCAAACCATGTTGTTAGATGGGAGGGGTAGCGTGGGATGTTTAGTTTCAAATATCAATCTGGAAGAAAATGGGAAAAAAAATATTGTACTGCCACGCCAGAGTGGCGGGAGTAGCAATGAGACTTTGTATTTAAAAAAAAAAGCAACAAAGAAGCAAAAAAAGCCAAGGTGTATTTTTTTTACAGTATCAGGGAAACAAAACTGCCTTTATAAGTAAGAAAAATGGCGCTTGAAAAGGTTGAATGGGGGGAAAAGAAAAATCACAAAACAAAAACCCAACCATCTGAATCAGCAATACGTAATCTCTCTCCATCTGAAGAGGAACTCAAGGCACCGATTGCCCTCTTTAGCTTTGCACAGGGCCTCCACGAGTTGCCTTAGAGAGACCCTGCCTTCTCACCGCGGTGTTGCGGGGCACGGAGCAAGCAGAGGAGCGAGGCCTGCTAGTAAGATGGCGCCTGGGCACCAAAGTTATTTTCTCCCATGTCCTCTGGCCGATCGGAGCTGTGGAGCAAGTGAGGTGGAAGGAGCGGGTGCAGCAGCTGTAGCGACAATCGATAACACAGAGCGTTCTGGAAAGAACACATCACTCGCGCTCATGTGATGAGCTTGTCACATCCTAATCCCTCGCCCCATGCTGTTTCACTTTTGGGAAACTTTAACTGCTGGTGTCAGCTCTTCTGATTCTAAAATAGGATCAGCCCTTTACTACAACAGCCTTCTCTTTCTATTTATTGCTATTCAGAACTTGTCAATAAAGGCAGGAAGAAGCTTGACGAATTTAAACCTTTAAGAACTGTTTTAAGGGAATTTCCTCTTTTTCTCTCTCTCTCTCTTTTTTTGGAAACCATTTGTACAATTTTAATATCTATTTCAGGACTATATTTAAAATATTTATTAGCAAACATACAGTACACAAGGCAACTTTTGTTACCAAGACTGCAGTTCTTCAAGGGTTAATGGTATGTGATTTATACTGTGCCTTAATTGTAATGCTATTTAAAAAGAAATATTTATTTTGAAAGTTTTACTATGCTGCGCTCTAAAGAAAGCAACTTTAGATGTGACACTGTAAAATTATGTATTCATCTCATGGCATAAATTATTCAGTAGGATTAGATGTAGCATATTAAATATTAACCTAATTAACTAAGGATGTTGACTTGGATTTATTTAAATTCAGTATGTGCACTGTATGAGGGTACTCTTAAAGTAACACCTTTTTAGGGTTTTACATAAAATATTGCTACTTCATTCTTTTCCCTCTCATAGTTTTTCATGTAGACCTCTCAAATACATTAGTGCATTTTTCTCACTCATCTGTACGTAGACTATTTTTCCCTTTGCTAGAAGATGCTGCTTTACATTGTCCTGTGAAAATACAGTACTTGCAATTTTTATTCTTGACCGAAATGGAATTTAATATTTTACACTGTATTGGATTTTTTTATACTTGAACAATTTCATACAAGGGAAGACAGGATAGCATTTTTATGGACTTTATTCAATGTCACTGGATTTATTTTAAGTATTCTGAATACTAGCCAGTGTTATAAGGTAAACATGACTCTTCTGTGCATATTATTTATTCAGTATGTATACTGCTTTACAACATTTCAGATCTCTTAATCTATTCACTTGTATTAAATAAAATAAAAAATGTTGTTGCATCTAGTCTCCTGATGTTTTTGCTCAGATTGGCTTAGACGTTGGCTCAGATGGCAAGATAAAACTAGGGGGCTACTTTTTTTGTAGTATTCCTGGTCTGTGGGGTGAGCAGCAGCATATGCAATGACTTTCAATATGTAGACTGATGTAAACTGTATTAAATGGAGAAAATCCAACAGAGAAGAGGGAAATGATCTACCCCAAGAGTTAGCATGAAATAATTGGGAATGGAAGGGAGTGTAGGAGGTCATTTGATCCAGCCCAGGTTGCTTCGGGCTTTGTCAACTTGGATATTGAAAACCTGCCTGTTGAGAATGCACGATCTCTCTGGGCAACCGATTCCACTACCTAAACATCTCCATAGTGTCAAATTATTTATTTGTATCTAGCCAGAGCGTCCCTTGTTCATCTCTCCATTCTTTAGCAAAGAGCCCAGCCCCATCGTTTCAGTAATCTGCCCTTTAGATACTGGGAGGTGGCTGCTCTCTGCTGCAGGCTGAGCAAACCCAGTGCACTATGTCTCTCCTGCCAAGCCTCATGCTTCAACTCCCAGCCATCTTGGTGGCCCTCCCAATGAATAATTCAACAACTGTCATGTACTAGGAGGCTCAAAACTGGACACACTGTTCCACATGTGATCTAATAAGTGCAGAGTAAAGGGGAATGACCAGTGCCCTTGTATTAACAGCAGCATGGATGGTGGAGGAGCCCAATGTGTCTTCACTTTTTAGCACATATGAAAGTCTGCTATGTCATGCTCTGGCCTATACGGTTGCAGGGGGCTAGGCCATCCCATGTGCAGGACTCTTCTTGCTGAATTCATGAGGTTCCTGTTGGCCAAATCTTCTAGCACATAGAAGTCCCTCTGAAAGGCAGGCCTGCTCATGGGCACAGCAACTGTGCTCCCCGGTTAGTATCATCAGCCCACAGACCTCGTGGAGGGCATTCTGTCTCCTCCTGCAGTTCATTGATACAGACATCAGGCAGGACAGACTGCTGAGGAATTCGACCAGCCTCTACCAGGTGGAGTAGGTTATGATTAGCAATAACCATGTCAGCCCGCAGTCCAGACAGTTTTGTACCCATCTAGGCTGTCAGGTCCCAAACTTAGATATAAGGATTCTGGGGGACACCACACTAAACACTTTAATAAAGGTAAGCTAGATATCCTCCACTTTCCCTTCATCCACGGATATAGTCATTTCATCAGGTGGAAATGAGGTTGGTCAACATGATTTATTATTGGTAAATCCATGCTGGCTCTTCCCAGTCTCTACCTTCGATGCCTTGAAATGTTGCATGATTTTTCCAGTGACAGAAGTGAGCTCCATAGTTCCCTACATTGTCTTTCTTGCCCTTTCTGCAGATGCGTGCATCACTTGTCCAGTCATGACAGAGCTCTCTGCATCTGTATGACCTTTCAAAGATGATAGAGAGCAGCCTAACAACCACAAGAACCAGCTCTCTTAGCACCCTTGAAAGCAACCCATCTGGTCCCATGAACTGGTGTAAATGCAGATTCCTCAAAAGATCCCCAAATCAATTCTCTTCCACACCTGGTAGCTTCTGTCCTCCTTGAACCCTTCTTATAGGTACCAAGACTTGTTATTAAAGACCTAAATATAAAGGCACCTTTTTGCATATGGTATTTGGACAGGGAAGCATTAAAGTAACTGCTCAGATCTAGTTGATGTTAGATATGTAATCTCTTCTCATTTCAATATCAGTTCAAGCTTCTAAGGACCAAATATGGTTGCTACCTTACATGTGAAAGAGGCCTGTGTGAAATGCATGACAGTCTTGGCCAATTGTTTGGGGAGGGAGAGAGGTTCAAATAATCTACATGTCAAAAATCATTACTGTATCTCTTATTCCTATAGCACCTTCAGCAGAGGCACAGATGTGACTGTAGAGCTTTTCTTTCAGCCATACAAGGGGTTGAACTCCCTCTGAACTGCTTTGACTGGGGTGGCTGCTTCACACTGCCTTCAAGCCTCTATTTGAGGGCAGAAGGGGGAATTGAAGAGATAGATAGAAAAGATTTTTGCTGGTCCTGGACAGACCTCTTTTCACCATGATTATGGGCCTTAGTTGCCCAGAACTGGCACATTCACTAACATCCTGGGGTGGTTATGTCCTGTTCCTTTCTTACGGAGTGCTCATAATATGTTTTCTGGGAAGTTTTGCTGAACTGCCTCTTGCAATCTGACCTTAAGCTCTGTGATCCTGGAGAGCGCAATGTCTTGTTCTTTGTGCTAAGAAGCATGTAAACATCCAGCAGCGAGGTGAGCACGAATCCCTTTAATAAATGCTGTTTTCTGCTCTCTTGCCCCATTCCACAATGCCAGGCTCTGCACTGAGGGTTTGGCTAAAGGACCTGATAAAAAGTTGGATTAAAAGCAGGAGTCCTTCTGAACTCTGAGACATGGTTACCTATTGCCTGGGGTAGTATGGAGAAGGCATCTTGGCCCCGCCTATACACCAATATTTACCCCATGCCAATGCCCCAGGCCCTTCCCCTGTCTCCACCCCAGCGCAGGACGTGAAGGGGTGTCCCTGC